TTTTTAGCCATCCATTATGATCCATATACTGTTATTGTTACTAGGCTAATTGCAACATAAAAAATAACACCTCATAAAAGACAAAAAAGCTGAAAAAATCAAATAAATAAAAAAAATCATGAAGAAATAAAAAAAAATCATTGATTTTTTATTTTTTTGATTTTTAAAAAGAAATCAGAAAAATTGCCAACCCTGATGGCCGGTGATACTTTTGGCTGAAAACTGGAGAACCCACCAAGGTGGACAATTCTTTGAATAATTCACTTTCGAATTGTGATCCGTAGCCAGTGATGACATGCAGAGGCACTCTGAATCTGGATATCCATGCTTCTAGGAAAGATACGGCAACCATTGAAGCATTGATGTTGGTCATGGGAATAGCTTCAAACCAACGAGTCCCACAATCTATGCAAGTTAGAAGATACTTATTAGGAGTGGGAGTAAAATCATCGTGCAAGGCGGGTGGAAGTGGTCCCATGATGTCAAGGTGGACCATTTGAAATCTCTGTGATGGCAAACTAAAATGTTCAATGCTTGCCTTTGTATGTCTAATAATCTTGCTTTGTTGGCAATTCCTACATTCATGTGTGCATGTTCTGATGTTTCTGTCCATATCTGGCCAGAAATAACGAGACTCTATAAGCTTGAGAGATGACTTGACGCCTGGGTGTGACATGCCGTGCAAACTCTCAAAAATGCTTTGCCTTGATGCTGCAGGGACAAATGGTTGGGAATATGGCATCAAGGTCTTGCACAAGATGTTGCAGGATGTTAACTTGTATGGTTTCAGTCTGTCAATGAAAGATTTAATTTCTTCATCTGTCTTCTGCGTGGGAGCGCAGGCAAGTCGTACAAATCACAACTTAGTGAAGTTGCTGGATGGGATTGGCAGTCAGCCACAACATTTTGCTCACCCTTGATGTAAACAAGGTCTGCCACATACGTACTCAGTTATCGGAGAAAGATGAAGTTGTTGTCTATCGGATTTAATTGGAACCTGTGTTTTACTAATCCCGTTTATATTTAGGAATGGAAATTTTGCTTCTATTTCAGAATCTGTTCCTGAATAATGAACCATATTATTAACGCCAATAACCATAATATTAATGCCAACCTACAGGAAGCGGTCGCTGGGTATGGTCTTTAAAAATCAAAAGATAGATTTTTCATTACTGTAGCTTGAATACTGCTACTATAGGAGTTATCAAGTTTTTTAAGTGTAAAAAAATGAAAATTCTAATTTTTCACGAAAGCTGAAAAACTGAAAAGGTGTAAAGATATTGTGATCATCAAATTAACCTTGTGAACAAGCTTATGCACCCATTGCGCATAGACATACCGCTTACACCATTGGATGTGTGAGTTTTAGACCTTTAAATTGATGCCATTCATAGGCCAGGCAGGATAATTGTCCGCTCAAAATTAGCAAGAATGATTGGTCGTTTGTGTGTGCATCACAGATTTTTCAACCAATTATTGTGAAGAAAAATCAACCTAGTGAATAAACTAACGCACGCATTGACATGCCAATTATACCGTTCTGTTAGATGCGCTAGATTTGAAGCTTTGAATTCATAACAAAAACAAAAAAGTCAAAATTGTATTTTTTATGACCAAAAGGGTCCCCCATACTTTTAAAACCTTTGGAACATGCAGTGTGTACTCCTCCAATACTAACTACTTGCATGGTGAAATTCTAGGAAATGGTTGGTCGTTATGATCCACCAGGACAACCAAAGCACTCCAGCGCTACTCACTTGAGATGTGGGGGAGGGGGAGCAGGATGGCTGTGCGTTCCAATACAAGCATGCTGCCAGCCCACTTGTATTGCAGAGCGCATCTGCTTGATCGTATTGGAGCAAGTGTTTTGGCCACCGCACTCAATTACAAAGGTACATGGTCATTTAGAAGCCATTTAGAATGCCATCATGAACTACTGGCAGTACTCCAAAGTCCTCCTTTTCATTTGTAGAGATAGTGGAATTCTAGGATCGTAGATCCTTAATGGCTTTGGTAAAGGGGGCCTGATCTGGACCTGGGCCGGGATCCCTTGCCTTTGTGATACCGTGCACTGGCACCCAGTGACCTAAGTAAATTAAAAAACTAAAAAATTGAACAGCAAAATATTTTGCTTATTCATGTTGGTTTTGATTTCAAGCGCACTCCATTCCTTAGTAATATAATTATACATAAATTATAATTTGATATAAATGTCACTTGAATGCAGCGATCAGTGTTGAAGTGACATTCATAGCCAAATTAAAATTTATTTGGGAAGTATTTATAAAAAAGAGATACTTTGAAGTTTCTCAATGTTTACAGCATTGAAATCCTTGCAGAGACATGAATTTTCAATACTTTCTCAGACTGAATTAAGGGGAGCGTCTATGGTAAAATTTTGGATTTCGGCTTTTCTGGTTTTTAGTCTCATCTTAAAGCTGACATTCTGATCTATCCAATGGTACCAAAACCATCTCTGTACGTTGATTTATGCGTTCACGACAGATCATGAAAGGGAGGGGGGTGTACCAAGTTTCAGAGTGATCCGTTTGTAAATAGCCGAGATAAATTTTACCCTAGACGCTCCCCTTAAGCTCCAAAGGACTTGAAGCGGCTCCTTGTTGCGGCCTCTAACTTTTAAATTTTTTTATGGAGCTGGCACAGCTTGGTGCCAATGCTGCCCCACCCCTTTTATCCATGTAGTACGCAGTTATCTTTCATTCATTTAGTATGCAGTTATCTTTCCTTCTGGAAGGTGCTAGTGTGTTGTGTGGCAGTGGTCAAACCTGGACAACAAAATGTGCACTCTTTTGGCATTTTTAAAGAGACCAGAGTAGAAATATCTTGAATTAATAAATTAAACTAAATTAAATTAAATGAAAGTAAGAAAATCACTTTGGAATTCATAATTATATGCTGATTGTATTGATTTTTTTCAGAGCATTTTCTGTTTTTAATGAATTTTTCAACTGCAAATTACTTGTCCAATATGACAAATCTAGGAAAACATGCCAAAGTAAATATATCATGTGATTGTTTGTACTTTATCATACTGGCTGCAGATATACTTAATTTTGACTATTCCCATGCTTGCCTGCTAAAGGGTTAAAGGAACAAATTCTGCCCTCCTATGTAGATTAATAACATTAGTGATGTAACATGTTCAAAACTGGTTTCTGATGGCACAGTTGAAGCAGGACAATCTCAATCTGATCAATTGATACAAACCCAAGGTGCAGAAAGTGAGCAAATATCCCAAGATCTTCAGTGATACATCAGAAGCACTGGTGTACCTTACCAATATTAATTTTTGAATATTTTGTAATTTCTGCAGAAGCAAAAGCAAAAGAAAATAATTTACACCAGTGACTGAGGACCACTGCAATTGATAGATTGGGATTTACAATTGATATGGATGATGGGGGATGATCACACTGACCTACATGATGCAATTCTATAGTTAATATAAGAGTATGGTATTACAAGTTTTAAACCAATCGTCAATGTTTGTGGACCGGTCCGCAGCACAGTAACCACCTCTCACAGGAGACTACTGCATCTTAAATAAACAAAAGATGGCGTTGATAAGAGCAACAAAAGTTCAATGGATCAATAGACAAGAAATTTGAAAGTTTATCACTCTCAAAACTAATTGGTCTGATCTTTTTGTATTGTTTACAAAAGTCACATGATATTGATCGCTAATGTAAAGGTACTAGATATGTGCTTATGCTGCTAATTTATCATGAAAGTTAAATCCCCATATCTTCATGCTTTGTTACAACTGAAATTCTTCACCTGAAATAAGAATTTTCCAAGTAAAATGTGAAACTTGTGTCACATGAATTCCTCCATTACTAGTCTATATGTGAAAAGTTTTCTATGAGTTACAGCCATAAGGTAATATTGATATATAATGAAATTAAAGCTGTACAATTTTATCTGTTGATATTCAACAATGACAGATATTGATCATGATCATTATGAATTATTTAAAGTCTAGAATTGCCCACAAGATGTTTCTAAAAATATTTGCTTTATGATGTCACATGCGATGCTATCAAACAGGGTAATAAGGGGCGGTTTCAATCATTTTTTTTATAACTTCATACCATAAAACATTTTATAAACGAGTTTGGGCTCATTTTAAAAGTATTTGCAAGGTTTATCGTATGGCATCTCCTTAAAAACAATTCCATATGATATTCATAAGGTGTTGGGCACAAAATAAAAGCATCCTGAATAACCCCTGGGAATGGGGTACCGGTAATTCATGAAACTTGAAATAAAACTTAATTTTAAAATGTTTGTAGCTTTCAGAGTTTAATATCCATTACTAACAGCACTCTAAGGTCCTCTTCCTTTGTAGATGATGTAGATGTAGAATAACTGACATTTGCTGTGATTTTTACTTGTTTTTCCTGTATTGATGTAATATTACCGTATCCATTGACATGACCTTGAGCATTGACAATGACCTTGTCCACCACTGCATGGCCAAGAAAAAGTGGTCAGAACTGTCAGACAGTCTCTGTTATACAACTGAATGCCGCATTCATTGGGCTAAGCTTCATAGTTGATGTCTATGAGAGGGACAGACACTGAAAAGAACAATGGCATTGAGGTAAGTTAAAAGGCAAAGCTATGGGTGGATAACATGAGTAAATTAGCACAAATATGGTGCACTACTCAATCCACAAAAGCCTGCTGGCAACAACATTGTGCAGATCAGGAAGCCCTGGCACAAGCTGGCCTGAAATGTATGTATGATTTCCCAATTGCATCCTTGTTTGGGGCAAAGGATTTTTCAATATAAATTCCTGTGCAAAAGGCTTCTGCAAGCAACCCATTCATATCCTAATGCTATACCACTATGCATGTATTGTATTGGTGACCGGGCCCTGGTATAATTCTAGGATAGGAAGATTTCTTTACTTCTTTCAAAGGCATTGTTCCCATGTCAACCATGTGGGGATTAACTTGTAACCCTCTTGAATTTTGCAGTGAAAGCAGAATTAGTCTAATAATAGTGTAAGTACAGAGTTGCAATAGGAGTTATGGTTTATTGAGGATTTTAAAATACAAATGACATGCTATTAAATGCAAGTAGGCAGAGATTATATTGCATATGAGGAGTGCTTGAGGACTGTTGTGGTGCATAGAGCGTTGAGTAACTAGTGATATGGAGTAGGGAGCACAGGACGAGCAATGGTGCATGAAGTCCTCAGACAGCCAACAGTATTGCTGAGTTAACTTGATACATAGAGCTGTCTTGGCAGCAATTTAATTATTAACTTGCTTAAATGGAATTTCATTATTACATCTTTTTTGAAACGACATAGATCAGAAGGATGCATCCATTATGAAAATTGAATTAATGACCCAGATGGATTCAGTTGCCAAAAAAGCATTAATGCCTTCTGGCAACAACATTATGCACTCCACCTTTGTACTGAGCATACTGCCTAAAGGCTGATGGGGCGGCAAGCCCAGGGATTGGAATTGATGCTGGGGGTGGTAGTTCACTGGCTTAATGACATTTATGATTGGGTGACAGTTCCAAGTTTTTTTCTAAGTTAATCATGAGAATCAGTCGTTACATTTATCTGCTATCAATTTTGCTCCATTTCAATTATTATGGTATTTTTAACAAGAAGTTCATTTAACCAACAATAACATTGCTTGTCTGGAGCATAATTGAATAATTGAACACTTTGTAATCAATGCTCAATGCTTGTCTATTGCAACTAAGTAAAAATCTTGCTCAGGCAACATGTGATAATGAAAAAAAATTTTTTTTCATAAACTTTAACTGACTTGAGTGCTTGCTCAAGTATGATAGATAATGTGAACCAAAAACTAGTCGTCATTCACCAAATTCACTGGCATTTTTTTCTCAAGTTACTTCAATGCATCACTCAGTTCTTGCCTGATGGCTATAAATGCATAGCCAAACCAATGCACTTTTAATTTTAAAATCATATGTGTTTTCTAATGATACTTTTTTATTTTAGGTTCCATGCCTGAGCTGAAAGTAGAAACAATATTATGCCTGCAGGTACCCTTGTATTTTATTAGTGACTGCCTTGTTTGGTTCTAATTATCTCCATGTTCAAAACCTCCAAATAAATAAGCTAGATAACAGTGATGGTTTTTCCTTGAAGCGCTACAATCTAGGGATTGGTTTTACTGAAATTTGATTTCTAGCTTCAAGTCAAAGCTTCAACAACTTGAATAAACAATTTGTATAAAGATACCATACCATGATGGATATTCCAGAAAAATTGTCAGATTTGAGTTAAAAAATTTTTATTACCAGCTTGACTGTTTAAAAAAAAGTACATAATTGTTGAAAAATATGTACCTATTCTTAGAATCCTGGAATAGACTATTATTGGTAGAAGTTAAAATTAGTAGTTTTTTATTTGTACACAATGGCTTTTATTTGTGCAAATTGATCGCAAAATCCATCACATGTCATTGCATGACACATTGCTCATACCAAGAGTTGAGAGTATCTTTCTTTGTGCAGGCGCAGCACTCGCGGGAATGATGTCCATGTGCTGCCAGTCTTCACTGAAGATGGCTGTGCCACGGAGGCTGTGGTGTCAGCGGTCACTCGGTCCGCTGCTAGACAAACTGCAATTATCCTGGCTGCTGATGTGGGTCTGTATCATTTGCTTCAGCTTGTTTCTTTGTTGCCTTATTTTGTTTGATTATGTTATGAATGGAAAAATGTTTGATTCCTGTCATTTTAGCGTTATTTTTATTAACACAATATTTTCTAAGACCTGCATCACTGAAACTCACACAGTAGTTGAGAATGAATCCAGAAAAATAATTCATACGATTGCAGTGATTTGCAAGATTCATCATTCAAGAAAAGAAATGAATACCTTTGTGTTGAAAACTGTGTTGTAAATCTTTATAAGCAAGTACTTTTGACTGAAAGGACTACGCTTTGAGGATCTTCCGATGTTGAATGCTGTGCCTTTAAATCTGACTGTGGTGGCAACCGTTACTGTTCCAAACCGATCAGCCATATTGGTTTGTTCAGCCATCTTGGTTTGTTCAGCCATCTTGGTTTGTTCAGCCATCTTGGTTTGTTCAGCCATCTTGGTTTGTTCAGCCATCTTGGTTTGATCGGCCATCTTGGTTTGAATCTGAATGTGGCTGGATTAGTATTATTAGCCAGTATCAGCTTCCGGCCAACCCTGTTTGCATGGGCAAGGAGTTCATCACACTTGCGTCTTCGGCTCGCAACCTGCACTCTGCTGGACACTGAACTCTATATGACCATTCAAATTGCCAAAGTCACCACTGCTTGTTTTAGTGCTCTGCGACTAATACGTAGGTAGCTTCAGCCATAGTCTCTTGGGGCTCTCGTTGTGGCGCTCGTTTTGACCAGTTTGGACTAAGGTAGTGTCACACTCTGTGGACTTCCGACCACAGCACTTCATAAAGTACAATCAGTATTGAAGGCTGCTGTGCGACTGGTGTGCAATGAGCAAAAATCGACCACTTGTCGCCGACATTGCTTGATCTCCACGAGCTGCGCATGCAGCAGCGCACGCAGTTTATGGTTGCTGTTCTGACGTTCCGATGCCTTCACGGTCTGGCACCTACATATCTCACAGAAGGCCTGCAGCGCGTGTCGGATCTGCCTTCTAGAAGAAGATTACGCTCGTCATCAACAGCGGACCTTGTTGTACCATCTGCACGTTGTCATCATCAGCAGACCTTGTTGTTCCATCTACGCGTCTATCTGCTGTCGGCAACAGAGCATTCCTGGTTGCCGCTGCCAGAACCTGGAACAGTCAGCCGGCTTGCTTAACATTGGCTCCTTTGTTGCCGGTGTTTTGTTGATGCCTAAAAATGGAACTATTATGTGGAGCCAATGAATCAAGTGCATAGTCATTTTTTTCCATTCTCATCCTTTCTCATGTCTTTATTTTTTGTTTGCTATAACATGCTCTTGAAGTTCGTTTGAATCAGACGCCACAATAACTGCTTCATTGAATGATGATAATGGACCAGAAAACATGTATAACTGTCTATTTTCTTTTAATTTTCTATGACCACTATTGTCTTTGATCCAAATGCATCTTGAAATACCAATCTGAATAAGGAAATTTGTTGTTGCAGCCACTGGCGAAATCCTGCGGTGTGATGTGATCATCGACAGCTTCAGCCGCCTGGAGATAATCACCACCACTCGAGAGTTGTACGTGGAGGAGGCGCCCGAGGAGTTTGAAGTCAGAGCCTATGATGACCAGGGCAATGAGTTTTCTTCCTTGGATGGCCTTAAATTCAACTGGGTACTGGAAAATGTTGCAGGGCAGCAGGGAGCTGTGCCGGCTCACTCAATACTGCGGTGAGATGAACGCAGAATTACCTTCTTAAATCCAGTATATGTGTGACTGCGAGGCATTGTGTGGGTTCAAACACAGTGCAGGCTTTCCTTTAAAACTCTTGTCTACCAAGAGCCACATTTAAGAAGCGTTGGTATCATTGCAGCAAGCTAACTTTGTTGGTAGTTCTGACGTATAAGAGACAAGTGTTAGTGTTTGACGGAAATGGCGATGTACTGTAACCTCTAAATTTGTACCATTAGCTCTATCAAAACTTGATGCTTATGGTCATCCTGCTTGCTTGTTAGTTCAATTTATTGATTTCTCATGTTGACTGAGGCTCTTATTTACATTCTGCTCTTTTGTCACTGTTTTCACTTCCCACTTTTTCAATTTTATGCTCATATTTATGGTGAATTAGGTATATAGAATCTAAAGAAATCTGATACAAAGGTCAATATTGATTGGGTTTAGGAAGTTTGGGGGTTATAACAGGAATAAGTGTATCTTTGCGATGGCTTAATATACCCATCAAATATGTGCATACAAATGTTTTTCTATAGATATAAATATCTTAAATGACACAGCTGTGTTCATTCAAGTGCAATGTCTTGCAGTTTCATGCGCTTCTCCGAGTCTCCATACAAGACCCCGGAGACCATCGGTGCCCTGGAGCAGCTGGGGCACCAGGGCTCTCAGGTGAGCAGACATGTTGTGAGGTTTCAGGTGTTAAAATGTTGCAGGTATCAACACGTCAGCATGTCGCAGGTATCAACACGTTGTCAACATGTTGCAGGTGTTGGTGGAGGGCAGGCAGACGGGTGTAGCGCGACTGAAGGCCTCCATCGCCCACCCCGCGTACCAGGCGCTGCAGCCTGCCGTGGTCACCCTGATGGTGGTGGCTAACCTGCTGCTCGAGCCTCAGGACGTGTACGTCTTGCCAGACACCGCCGTCGTCTACGCCGTGTACCACCTCAAGCAGGGCATGCTGCTGCCCGTGCCGCTCAAGACTTCTCATTACTACCTGCAGGTCTGTACAACCTTCCCTCCACTTGTATTGGCACGCATTAAATTTTAACTACTCTTCTACATGAAATTTTAAAACAAAATAAATTTCTAGGATCTCTAATTTCTTAACATTTAATAAATGTTTATCATAGTTTAAAAATATTCATTCAGAAAGAATTTATGTCATTAAACAATATAATGGGTCGAACGTTCCCATTATGTTGTAACGTATATAAACGTTCAAAAATCGAAACGTTCGTCACGATTCTTTTGCTTGAATGTTAACATTTGTCATCCACCTCTCATTCTCTTGTGTGGCATGAAATTCAACAATATTTATACCTTTTAAAATCTTCCTTTTACAGTACGTAGCCTAGAACATGTATCGTATGCATCCTTTGTTTGCAGGTATCTGACCCCCTGATCGGTGAGCTCCAAGGAGACGGCATCTCTGTAGTGAGCCAGCAAGTCGGCCAGACCAAAGTTGTGCTCGAAGACAGCAACGTCAAAGCTTCAGGAAACATCAAGCAGCCTAGCGCTAACTTCCACGTCGTGCAGCCTGGTTACCTCGTCATTGAGATTGAGCCCGGAAATAAGCCTAGTCTAATAATTGGTAAACCAAGTGCATTCCATGTTCATCTTCACGATGAAAAAAATAACAGGATATTTCTCTCCGACTCGATAGTTATCAAAACCAATGTTCCGACTGAATATTTCTCGAATGAAGAAGTTCGTCCGAACGGAACTTTTGTTGCTGGGCTCCCCGTCAAAGAAGGCAAGATGACCGTAACTGCCATGCTAGATCAGTATTCCCTGAGACAAGAAATCGTGGCCATCAGTCCGCCTATCAAAGCAAGTCTCGATGTGATGATATATGCTGCCTTAACTGTGTCCCCCAAGTACACACTTCTGCCCTGGGATGAGGTGACTAGGCCACAGCACAGTCTGCAACTTGCCATTAAGGGTCCACAGCACAGTCTGCAACTTTCCACTAAGGGTGGATCTGGCCACGTCCTGTGGCACACAAATGCACCCGATGTCGCCACCGTTAGTAAAACAGGGTTGGTTTCCACTCATGCGCTGGGAGAGGCGCTCCTTGCAGCCTCTATGTTTGAGAACTCGGCCAACCGGGACTCTGCTGTGGTGGTCGTCAGGGAAGTCATGGGACTCAACCTGGTGGAGGGCTACAGGGAATTCTTGATCAACGAGTCTCTCGTTATTGGCATTGCTGCTTTCACGTTGTTGCAAGACGAAGCTGGTGTGTTCTCATCCTGTGAAATGCTCACCTACAAGATGTCGGACTTCAATCCTGATTTCTCGGCGTTAGCAAAGGTCAGACCTAAAGAACTGAATGGTTCTTGTGCGTCACTTGATGTGATAGCTCAACGACCAGGATTTTCAGGCGTGAAAGTTTCCTTCTTGAGTTCGGGAAGCCAGCATTTAGCCGCGTCTACAACTATAGGCTCCTTCAAACCCCTTACTGTTGTAAAACCTGAATCTGGTAAGCTTGTTTTGGCCCTTGGAACTGGTTATTTCATCCACTTTGAAGGAGGGCCTTTGCCCTGGATACACAAACCTTCTGGCCACTTTACTTACTTAGACGTCGCCAACGCTGATTTGCTGCGCAGTCATTTGGATATGAGCGGCCGAAGTGTGGGATCTTACAAGATTTATGTCGACTGCCTTCAACTGGGGGAAACTAAAGTAACTTTGACGGTCGGTAACAAAGCATCTAGCACTCTACCGTATCCCAGAGAAAGCACGGCGAGTTCTTCTATTTTGTGTGCAAGTCCGGAAATTGTGCAGCTGGGCGTTGTCGGTGCAGAAGCGCTGCCCTGTCCCCTGCACCAGCACGGATCTGCGGTTGCCAGTTGCCAGAGTTTGGTGCCGGTCAGCGTCACCGTGAGGGACGCTCATGACAATCGCCTGGACAATATTTCATCTCTTGTGTTCAGCTGGAGCACCGAACAACCTCACCTCGTTACATTTCATGACGATGGCGCTCTTGTAACAGACGCCTCGGGCGTCGTGTACGGAACGCTTGTTCCTCGCGGTCTTGAGGGCGAGCTCACTATTAGCGTAGTTTTACTGAATGAAGGAATTAGTGCTTCTTTGAGGCTACGTCTCGTTACTCCTCCTGCACTTCTTCCCAAGCACTTAGTGCTCCACCATCACCCCGGCAGTAGTGGATATCTGAGAGTCACTAAAGGATCAGGGTACTTCGAGTTGCTCCCTGATGACACCAATGGAATTGCTCGCTCATCAACATCTAATCTTGATTTATCAAAGCGTCCTGACGCTGTTGCTACACTCTTCTACCATTCGACCAATAGCAGCATTGTTGCCTTGGCCAAGGGTGTGGGAAGTCGCCTGGTCACCGTGAGGGACTTGTGCTTGTATGAACAATCAGACTCTCCGTCTGCTGTTGTGACTGTAGCCGTGCCCTCAGCTGTCACGTTGATTGTGCCGGCTATGGTGGAGCAAGGCAATAGTGTGGAGGCCGTCTTACAGCTCATCTCGAACGAAGGTTTTATTGTTCCTATCCTCCCAAACGTAATGCAGTTCTCAGTCGTGGCTAAAGAAGATTTGGTATCTCTGGAATATTTGAGGTTATCGCAACAGGGAGGAGCGGTTTATAAAGTTACAGGCATTACTCTTGGCGACACTTCCTTGCGAGGAACCATTAATAATATCGAGGTAAACGGTGGCAGTGGGGCAGACAATCGCAGCAATCGTCTGGTATCTCCGTACGAACCTGTGAAAATTTTCCTACCTTTGCGTTTGCGACCGCGACATGTCACGTTGATAGTGGGCGCCGAGTACCAAGTCCGGGCGTCTGGGGGTCCAGCATCTACGAAATTGTTGTACCAAAGCAGCAATACGAGTGTCTGTGAAGTCAATGCAGACTCTGGTGTTGTGTCTGCAGCCATGATCGGTACCACCACAATATCGGTCACCGCCAAGTTGTCTTCAACTTCTACAAGCAGTGAGCACCTGCTGCCGTGTGCCGACGTTGTTTATGTTAGGGTGGTGCCGGTGAGTGCCATTGAGATTGTGGCTCCCACGTCGCACCTGGAGTCGGGCTCCTCCATGCCCCTGTACGTCACAGCCTTGGCTGTGAATGCGTCCCACAATATCTCTGACGACGACGTTCCTTCTTTGATGAAACTGACGCCTCTGAACTTCGCCTCAGCAGAGCCTCCTCTCCTGTACCGCTGGAGCAACACTGACAGTGCAGTAGCTACTCTGGACCACGTGCTTGCAGCCAACGGCGTCGAGAGCAGAAATGTCAACACCGCTGCGCTTGTGATCAGAGCAGCCAAGCCCGGCGTCACTACCGTCAGTGTCGAAGTGTCTGTGCTCCACGCTGCATCGTCTCCTTTAACTGCTCAAATAATAGACGATTCAACATTAACTGCAACTTTCACGTTAACTGTTTTTGAGCCCTTGTCGTTGACCTCGCCTTCTGCCAACCGGACTAAGCTCCTCATGTCGCCTGGTTCTATCTATGCCCTTAAAAGCAACCGAGATGACGACCGTGTTGTCAAGTTCACGTCAACTTCGGAGTGTCTCTCAAAGAACCAAGAAAATCCATCGTCCGAGGCCCAGCAGTTGAACTACAGCTCCCACGGCCCTACCATTTCGCTGCACGACAACGTGGTTCATGCGAGCAACGCCACGGGCACCGCCACTGTGATGGTATCTGCCCAGGAGACGCCTGATGTGGTGCAGCATGCGTCCGTGCTGGTTGAGGTGCGCGATGTTTGTTACGTGCTTGTGTCGGCGCTGCCTGTCCTCGACAGCGTCCATGGCAAGGTCGCCTACGTCGCCCTTGGCTCGGTATTACCGCTGAGAATTTCCTACCACGACTGCACTGGGCGTGAGTTTGATGCCATTAGTCACCACAACCTGGCTGTTGTCTCCAACCGAGAGGACCTGGTGGTGCACAATCGGAGCCACCACGACGCCCTGGAGCTGCAGGTGCGGGGTGCAGGGCAGACCGTGCTGGCCGTCACGCTGCGGACTGCGAGGGCCAACGTCCTGCAGCACTTCTTCAGGATCCCCTCCGCCTCCGCTCTCATTCCTCACCAGGTTTGTCAGGTCTCCACCGCATTTTCTATTATTAATTTACTTTCAATTACACTGTAATTTATCTGCAGTTCACACAATTCCACTCTGATATTGCAGGCTCCTGGGGTTAAAGCTAAGTTTGAACAGATGCAACGCAACCGTGAGTTAAAAATTGCTACAGCGATTAGAGATCTAGATCTAATTGAAGGAATAATAGCGAATGCGCTCAGAAACTTCGAGTATATGTGAGAAATGGAAGCTGAAAGAGTTGGGTAATATTTTTGTGGTCATCCATTCCGCAATCACTGGAGCTCACGTGCTTTCACGTACAGTTCGTCCTCATATTCTGTTAACAGATCTCTTTGTTAACCGAGTAATTTTCCTCCTTGATATTTGTTGTTTCCTTACCTTAGGTTATCAAAACTTAATTTTTGCATCACCCCCCAATAATTTCGATCAGTTTGTTTCAATCCCTAATTAGGTTCCAGTCTTATTGTCTTGCCGAAGCTATAAAACCTCAGGATCTTGCATGTTGGAATTTACTGCAGCTTTGCCGTGTCAGCCTGCCAGTTACGGCTGCTAGGACTTGTTTAGTGGTAGCTTTCGTCACGGTATAAATTTTAACGTGTATTAGTCCATTTCCAATTTTTTTAGTAATGGGTCCCTGATGAAAACGCCTGCGCCAAGGCCTTGAGGTTTCATGAGAAAAAATGTTTAGTTTGTATTATTATTCTACGAAGCACTAATTGTTGCGTTTGGTTAAATGAACTTCGAGGGCGCGTTACACATAAGTTTAATAGCAATCAAAAGTAGTACTCGGTAGAGAAAACTTCTCTTCTCCACTAAATATGTTTTGTTGTGGGAGCCCCTTGTGTTGTGGGAGCCCGCCTTTACTAATCATGGTGTCGGTGCGCAGACCTGCGTGGTGGCAGGGCAGCCTGTGTGCCTGAAGTCTGCGGTGCGCGGCGCTGCGGGGGACGTGGGGCGGTGGGCGGGCGGCGAGGGCGTCGCGGTGCTGCCCGCGGAGGGCGTGGCGCTGTCGCTGCTGCAGGGCGCCGCGTCCGTCGTCCTCAGCCTCGTCAGTGCCGCCCCCCAGCAGCACCTCAAGGGGCAGTTCACCGTCACGCCCATTAAGCAGGTTGGTCACATCGATGTTTTTGGTTCATAGGAATTATTTTCATGTTAGCTTCATGATTCATGGGAATTATTTTCATGTTAGCTTCAGCGCCATCCGATTGTTGAAGTCATGATACTCGAAAAAAGTTTTGCAAGTGATTAGGCAGGGTTGGCGATTTTTTTGATTTTTTTTTTAAATCAAAAAAATAAAAAATCGATGATTTTTTTGATTTTTTCATGATTTTTTTTGATTTATTGATTTTTTTATTTTATTTTATTTGCCTTCAATAATGGCCAACAGGCCGAGATGGTGTTTACCACTTAGGGATTTTTGGGTAAACAATTATTGATAAGTCTATATTAGCTTCATTCATATTCATTAGCTTTGTAAAGTTTGTATGGAGCAAGGTAATGAGCTAAATATTGACCATTTAACTGGCTTCAATATACAAAAACACTTCAGGAATGCAGATCTCCTAAACACTGAAGAGTCACATAACAGATAGGTAGCTGATAGCACAGTGCACAGCACTATTAATAGATCTACTAGTTTTATGTCCTATAAATCTACCAGACTCTACCCTCTAAACACACCGACTAGTAGTGACTGAGTGACTGACTGCACTGTTCCCATTTAATTCAGACCAATAAACCAATACTAAACATAAACTGAACGATAACCAAACAAACCTTATACGACTTGAAACATGACTTAAGTTATGAGAAAAGCTAACACTGTTTGAAATAAACATGTGCACAATTCAAATATTTATATCCATTCACTGCATTTAATTATTTTACATATAGTCTTGTAATTGTAATTGTTTTGTTTCTAGTTTTAAATTCACATATTTAAAGATTGAATTTAAATATTTTAATTAGAATACTCGTATTAGGGTGGAAAATCTTTTTAATTGCCCAAAAGTTCAATACAATCTCAACCTCTCAATATACAGGGTGGAGCAGAACCAATTGAGCAATTTTGAGGTAAAATAAAAGAGTAATGGAGGTACATAAAGAAGAAAGTTTATTTTCCTAGAGGTTAGCATAACATACCATTTAGAATACTTATGTTTTGAAAACAATATCTGGAAGATGGGGGCCGTTGGCTCCAACACACTGTTGGTCGTTTGAGTCATTCTCAGAGGAGGGAGTAACCATGACAGTGAATTCCGATTGCTATGCTGCAATGTTGCAAAATTCCTTGCAGCCCAGGATGGAATACATTGTTGAAAATGAAGCATTGTGAGACGTGTGGTTCCAGCAGGATGGGGCTACAGCTCACACAGCTCGAATGTCACTCAATGTTTTGAAACGCATTTTTCCCGGATATCTGGTGTCTATGAGGGGTGATTTACAGTGGCCTGCGAGGTCACCTGATTTGAGCATTTGCGATTTTTTTCTTTGATGACATCTATAAGAAAGAGGTTCAGAAGTTGCCCTCACACCCTACCACAGCTAAGGGAACAGATTATTGCAGCAGATGTTATGGCCATACCTCGCCATATGTGTGAACGTGCTGTAGGAAACTTCCGAGAACGACTCCAACAGTGTGATGCAGCTAACAAACCCCATCTTCCTGATATTGTTTTCAAAACATAAGTATTTTAAATGGTATGTTATGCTAATCATGATGAAAATAAACTTTCTTCTTTATGTACCTCCATTACTCTTTTATTTCGCCTCAAAACTGTTCAATCAGTTCTGTCCCACCCTTTATAAGCTAGCTAACACATTTAAATTGTATATTGTAATCAATATACAACAAATAGCCAAATAGTTAGACTACTTATAGCCTTATAAGAATTAGCTAAGCTGCTAGCTACGTACAATGTATTGCAACCCTTGATGCCTCTGTACCAAAAACATTCCATTTATTGGAACCTAATACACACTAGAGGCAACAAGTTTATATACCAATTTGTCATTCATAGTACATTTATACTAAACCATGAATAACAATACCTCAATATAAATTAAAGACTGCCACTCAATATTTTTAAATATATGAAAAAATAAAAAAAAATCGAAAAAATAAAAAAAATCATGATTTTTTATAAAAAAATCGAGTGATTTAATCACATGATTTAATCATTTTGATTTAATCATTGCCAACCCTGTGATTAGGTAATCAGCCGTGCAATGAAACGAGTATTCCCTTCAGCAGATTTTATAAAAATAAACAATTCGTTTATCCAATAACATCATATTGAGGTGTTTTCAGTTACTTCCTAGCACGTGCGCCTGATCTGTCCTAATCTTTAATTTAGAGCGGAATTCTTCTCTGGAAATATGGACTCGGCTATCATTCAGGCATGATATAAAATTAATCTTACTAGATTTTCGCTGATGAGGTTATTCGTTTTTGGTCTCAAACATTCACAGCATAAACAATGAACTCTTTGTGTGCCCAGCTGACGTTACTGAAGTCCACGGATGTCCTGAGCGACGGGTTCGTGGACGATATGATCACCATAGACGTCGCCTTGTCGGGAGACTGCGAAGCAAATACTGCTGCTGGTGGCTGCTGGCCTGACACCCTGCCATCGTCTGCCCTCCTGCAGCACCTGTCCTGCGAGCTGCAGGTCCCTGCGCCACCCGGCGCCCGCCCCAGCAACGTGTTCCTCGCGCACGCAAGTTACATTCCGGGCCGCGGCTACGCTTGCATCGTCCAAACGGCGACCGCTCCTGCGCCTTGGCTGCGCAAGCTGTACGCAAGTCGCTCTGACGTGAGCGTCTCTCTCGTGGTGGCCCTCAGTGCCATCAGTGCTGACCAGCCCCCACTGAAGTCAGCGGCTCTGCTGCTGCCGTTCGTGCCTGGCGTGTCTCTGAACGGCAGCGGCTCAGTGGCGCTTAGCGCCTCGGCGCCCTCCGACGACTCCGTGGTCGTGGTGGGGCCACAAGAAGCCCTCGCGCTCTTGGTGATAGAGAGCGACATTAGGACCTTGAGTGCGAGGCTCAGTGAGCCGGTAGTCGGCTCCCAGGGAGGCTCTGAACGGCGCCTGACCGTCCAGGCCACCGGAGGACATGGCGAAGAAGAGGTCCAGGCCTCCGTTAACATCACCTCGCCCCTAACGCGGCAAACGCTACAGGTGCGCGTGTTGCTCGAGAGCTCATTGGAAGGTGCGTGTGGTGCCCCGCAAGAGATGCATCTTCTAATCACGCTGCTCACGACTCACCAGACGCAGCTGTTTGCGGTGCTCGCTGTGGTGCTCACCGCCGCTGCTGGGGCCGTGGGCTACCAAGCCTGGAGTGGCCCCGGCTACCGCAGCACCAACGCTGCGGTCTTCGCTAACTCCCCCGTCCTACCACCGTCCCCCCTGGCAGGTTCGTTCCCCAGCTGACAGACTCGCGGCCAGACATTAACCTCGCTTCGATCATTCGCCACTGTAAAGCCCATTTTGTTCCACAGAATTTATGTCCTGATGTTCTAAACTTAAAAGGCGAAATTCACTTTAAAAGGCGACGTTCACTTTAGCTTGCACCAGGTTCATATTTTCACTCAGCAAACGAAGTGCTAAAACCTAATAAAGTCAGCTCCATCAGCAGGCTGGTTAATTAATAACTCGCTCGATGCTTCCTTGTGCTGGGCGTGCAAGAGCATCTCAAGTCCGCCACAAACATTTCAGTTTTTTCATGTTCTCTGCATTAAATAACTTTGATAAGTAAGGCCATCTCTAGTCTGAGTTGTGTAAATATGAGTATTTAAAAGGTCAGTTAATATTATTTTATTTTTTATTTTGATATTGATGCTGTCCTCTGTCTGTGCAGCCGCGTCCCCGTACCCGAGGAATGCTTCCCCTCACCATATCAACGTCTCCCCTCACCGTTTCAACATCAACCTCTGGAGCACCGACCCCGTCTATGGGGCGCCCTCTCCCACGCACGAGTCATTTAAGTCATCACACAAGTGCTGTTCTGTGCTGTGTACAAGGAAGCATTGTTAGACATCAAGTGTTGGCTCTTCAGTTACGTGGCGGTCAGCTTGACTTTTTGTATGGCCGGCATATGTTTAGTAAATTCTTTTAGGAATTTATAGAGGATTTCTTCTTTGTCGTCAAATTGATTCACTATCTTGGTGAAGAATTGTGTCTGGTATTCATGCTCGCCGTAGAGATAGCACTCGGTATAAATTCAAAATTTTTTTCTCGAGTCTTGACTTGATATCTAATACTGATCTTCGTGAAGTCATGTCCCTAAGTGATCCAAATTAAGTCTAAATGAGGTTTGATCACAATTTTGATGTGACACGTTTTTTTTAAGAACTTTTAGCATGTTGCTTTTGTAATGCAACTGAAACGAATATCTTATGGTTGAAACTGGTGCCATGCTGCGCCTCAGTCTACGTTTATTTAAGCAAAACATTGTAATTAATCTATGTATACTTGTGCCGTGTTTTATGTCGCCTATCATCATATGATATACCGAGGCTGTTGTAGGATGCGGTGTAGTAAACCTGCTATATTGATTAACCTGCACGAGACGTGCAGGACAAGCGATATTAAGTTGGTGAGAGGCAGACATCGTGTCGTGAGCAGCTTGATGCTTACATTCTTCTCGGGGCTCCTGCTCCCATGAACGAAAGCTATGATGGGCGAAAATGGTTGCGACATCTAAGTCACATCTACAGACCTCCAATCGCAATTCTGGGTATTGAGTTCAAATTATTACGGAGGAGATTCTTGGATCTTAGATATAATTTGTAACCTTTCTATGGTTTTTCCTGACGTCTTATCATCATTTCCTCGTCATATGAAGTGTGAAGCGTCTTGAAATTCATGTAATTTACTGGATTGTGATACTGACCTCGTGGCATCCCTGCTAATTTTACAGCAGCATAAATATTTCGCCGTCACTACTAGAGATGAAGGTTGCTCGCGTGACGTGTGCTCAGGAGCTGCGATCGTCCAGTGACTTGAGGTTTTGTTTCATGCCGTCGAGGTGATGTGATGCGGCCTTGTCGCTTCATGTACAGTTAGTTGTAATAACTTTCCTACTCGTGTAATGATAACTTAATAGAGGAACTTCGTGGAGTGCGTAAGAAGATTGTTTAAGTTGGGAACATAATTTTGTGTTCAACCTTGTGGAATATGAAGAGTTGACAGAACCATGACAGCTTGTTTCTTGGTGCATGGCTTGTGGTTTGAAGGTGGCGCCTGCCGCTAATAACTAAGATTCAGAACCTTGTGATGAGGTTCTATTCTTAGTTCTTCTTGATGTAGATTGAAATCGTTTTTTAGACTTTTTTGTTCGGAAATCGTTTGTTTAGACTTGTTTGTTTGTTTGTATTGGTCAGACTTGTTCGGAAGCTCATTTGACAAGCAAATAAGCTCTTTTCCTCTGTAAATTTGTACCTTTAACTTAGTGATAGTTAACTAGTGGTACTTAACGTAAAAATATTCTGTTCACGCGCAAGATCTCAGCCGTTGTTTATATTAGAACTAATCTCGGGTGAATGTTCGAGTTTGCTGCAGCCTTATGACGAAGATCGGGATCATATCTTGACTTCTTAGCGTGCGAGATTTTGCACATCAAATGTTCTTCTCTTGAAATCTTTGTTCTAATGCCGCGCACAAATATACCTTTAGAAAATCGCGTCTACCAGCGCACTTATAATTTCTCAGTAGTTACGGGAGTGAAGAGATTCTTCCAGTTGTTTGTCCCTTTTTTCTTTTGTTGTCTTTATTTTCTAGTTCTGTTCTCATGTCAATGAAATGAATTGTACAATAAAGATGTTAGCCTTCTTTTATTTTCGTCGTAGCATCCTTATACGAGGCAGAGAAGGCGCTGGCTTAATTCCTACGCTGTTCTTAACTCTTGCCTGCTGCACCCTGCAACCTCGGATGTTTTGTCTCTGCCCTTCTGGTTACAACTTTATCTGAGAAAAATGCCATAATTAATCTTCAATTTTTTTATCTGGTTTTAAAGTTGATTTTTTCTATCCGATATGGTCAGTAAATGTGCAATTGCCGTCTGTTAGCATTCCAGTTTATGTAGAATAATATGGTTGCATAACATCAACCGTGTGTCGTGAACAGCAGCAAGCGCATGTTTCCTTTCGATTGTGATGTTAGGGTTGGTAAAGCTGAGAAAACGAGCAAGAGTGTTGGTATTGAAATCACTCTTAAGTTTGCTTCAACGTCGATTTCGTCGTCGATTGCTAGACAATAGAAATTTTTTCTAAAATAGTAAGTGGAACATTTGTACGACTTACACGAAATGGCTAACATGGTCAGATATAATAAAACCTAGTCAAAGAATAGATCTCGTGTGAGGCACACGTGGATAGACGGGCTTGTGAGAATTGCATTTACGGGTAAGTAGTCGCACACTGTCTGTTCACCGGCCAGCATATTTTTTCTAATTCTTCCATTTTTCTCGAGGAACCTCGTATAATTGCCAACGAGATAGCTAATCACGTTCTTCATGCGTCACATAGCGTCGCCACATCGAATAAGTTCTGAATGAAATTATTAGATGCGCGCCGCACGGTCATCGGCGTCAAGCTGCCATCACGCATTACGTTGCGGCTCCTTTGCCGACATGAAAACGGAGACGCCGAGTCCGAAGTGCAATAAAAAAGCTCGTTCATGTTACCTCAACACTTCGTGGTGCACCGCCGACCGTCGTTCATTCAGGCCGTTATTTTGAGTTTCATTCATTGAATGTTACATAACGAGCAGGGAAAGAGGATATGACATCCTGGGCGCTGCTGTGCTTGGGCGCTTTGAGAGCGGCACCAACGTTGTCACCTCAGAACCACGCGCACTCAATACCGCACGCGTTGTTTTTTAAGCACGGTCAGGCATTTAATTTTACTTCTGCTATCTACGTACGCCATGCAGGTTCATAAATAATTTCAATTCTATTTGTCCTCGCGAGAATTAAAATGGCCACTTCATCAAGCCAGGCAGACAATGGTAAGGAAAAATAGTAGTCATTCTTGTTGGTTTCCTTTACCTTCTTGTAAAACTGCGTAACAAAATTCCGCACATCAGAACAAGTAAAAAATACACATCTAGGAATTAACCAAGTACAAATATGCATGGGCATTTAATAAACCAATATCTCAGTATCGCACAAGTCCTGCTAAATAAATATGAACGCGGCAACAAATGCAAATCGCTAGGAACTCACGTGGATGGGTGTGCCCTGGTCTAAAATTCTAAATTGTCAACGGGCATACAAGCTTACTTTACTCTGCAAAAAAAAAAACGTTTTACTTCACACTGGAGAACCATAAACTAACTACTATAACATAAACAAGACACTATGATAATTATAGCAAATTGACCTAAGGAGTAATTCAGAGGAAGCGCAAATCCTAGTAACATCAGAGCGGTAATGAATGGCCGGAGGCTGCAACCCCGGATTCAGTAATCAATCAAGGATCATCACTCTCGTGCTTATATTGCACTAAGCACTTCTGTTAAATGTTAACAATTAGATTGAGGTTATTTCATCAAGCGGTAATCCCGCAGTTCTAAAAATGGCGGGAAACCTCTAGTCGCGCCACTCTGAGGGTAATCTATATAATCCACGCCTACGCTGGAGGAAGTTCAAACTTCAGAGGTGGAACTTAATGTAGCAAATTTGCAGTAAGTTAGAAAATGCCAGAAAAATATCGGATTTAGGCAAATATACCAGATCTAAAATATTCATACCAGACACCTTAAAATACCAGATTTGTGAAATCTGGTATAGAAATATACCATCTGGCATCGCTGCCGAATATAGCTCCGCGCCGTAAGGCTGCAAAATAAAAGTGCATATCGCACGCGTACTGGACGCGACATTATTAATTCTATAAATAATTTCAAAGCTAGTTGTTGTTGGTAGGCTACGTACTGGCGATGATGTCGTAGTCTATTAAAATGGCCACTTCATCAAGCCAGGCAGACAATGGTAAGGAAAAATAGTAGTCATTCTTGTTGGTTTCCTTTACCTTCTTGTAAAACTGCGTGACAAAATTCCGCACATCAGAACAAGTAAAAAATACACATCTAGGGATTAACCAAGTACAAATATGCATGGGCATTTAATAAACCAATATCTCAGTATCGCACAAGTCCTGCTAAATAAATATGAACGCGGCAACAAATGCAAATCGCTAGGAACTCACGTGGATGGTGTGTGCCCTGGTCTAAAATTCTTAATTGTCAACGGAAATACAAGCTAACTTTACTTTGCAAAAAACGATTTAAATTTACACTGGAGAACTATAAACTAACTACTATAACATGAGCAAGATTATATGACAATTATAGCAAGTTGACCTGAGGAGTAATTAATTAATGGCAGGAGGCTGCGACCCCGAATACAGCTCCGTGCCGCGCCGTAAGGCTACAAACTAAAAGTATATGTCGCACGCGTACTGGACGCGACATTATTAATTCTATAAATAATTCCATAGCTAATTGTAGATGGTAGGCTACGTACTGGCGATGATGTCGTAGTCAGTCGTTGCTACAGATGACCAGGCATATCGATGGGGAGGGGTTGTTCCTAAATTATTTCGATGAATGTTTAAAATAATTTATCCGTTTTTTTAATGAACAATGTCATTTAATTTTGTAGGGTCTTTTGTTTCTGTTATGAAAGCAGATCATGAGCGTAATTTTCAAATCTTCTCTTTGATGCTGTTGATGTCGACTGTTAATTACACTGAGAAAACTGGAGGCTAGCGTAGGTCGGTTCACTCCTAAGGAGTTTACCCCTTACTTCATAACTTCGAATCAAACTCACTTTTTATTAGTTAAATTTAATTAAATATATACGCAAGAGATGAATCCAGTCTCAGAGCGACAACCTGCCGGTGACGGTGGCCCACTTCAATCAAAACCCTGGAGGTGATGAAATAAATCTATAATTTAAATCAAATATTTTGACTGGGCGGCGGGCGGCGGGTGAGAGGCGTGGAGGGCGGCGGGTGAGAGGCGTGGAGGGC